CTTTTATTCCTCTATTTTCTCTCTTGATTCCGGCTACGTATCTCGCATCTTTTAATATCCAACCCCCCAACATCACCCCTTCTTCAGCTCTTGGACATTTTCCCATGGTTTTTTTTCTTTTTCAAGATCCAAAACAGGAAAACTTCACATCGAACATTTACTTACTTAGTAAGGATTAGCGCTCATGATCACTGTATCGATAAGAAACACGTGCCACAACCACTTCCAACTTTGACGTGACCGATTGAATCCATCCATGCTAAATCCAATGAATGCTACCTACGGCCCAGCTGCTGCAAACGGCATCTCGTCATTAATTTCCATCACCACATTGGTTCCCACAGAGAATTCCACATCTTCTTTTCGCTTCCTTGGCAAATATACACTTTTTTCCCCGTAGGTGCGAATTCGATTTCGCCATTCCGATCCGGATCACCAATCATACACCTTGCGTCCCCCCTTCCGGTCCTCGCAGGATCCCATTTTCCGGCGCATTGGGATGACCAATTGGGCTTTCCTCGCACCCACTGCGTCAACAACAACGACCACAAAACCCTGGACAGATAATGCCCACGAGTTGCCCGCGATAGCGGTCACAGTCAGCACCGTAGTCAAATCACCAATCCAGCATCAACGTTTCGATATCCCGCCGAATCATTCTCTATGGCTCGCCACCAGAGCTCCCCGATTCTAGCTCAGTTGCGAAATGCCAAGACCTTTTCCGAGCAGTCGGACGCCCTGCAAGCTCTCAAGAATGAAATCGTCGGCCACGTCCAGAAGAAGGAGGCCTGGCTAGCACTCGGTGTGCTCGAGCCCATCGTGCTCTGTCTGTCGTCGAATCGTCCCCAGGCCAAGTCGAATGCTAGAGATGTTCGTCCACAACAGGTCGCACGACCTCTATCCGAGGAGGATGGCGTCAGGCTGCAAGCGTTGCAAATCATAGCCAGTTTCGCCAACGGTACGTCCACCACCACTACCACCACTACCACCAAAGCCCATTCACTTACTTGCCTTGTCGATTCGGACTCATGATTAATTCAATGTTATCCTAGGTGGTCCTCCTTTCCTACAGCCATTGAATGCCGCGGGAGCACTTCCTGCGATCCTCACATGCCTATCTCCAACTATAAACGCTCCACAAATCGTTGTCGCAGCTCTCAAAGCCCTCACAGATATTGCGAACGCATCAGCTCTGGCACTTCCATCCACTCCCCTTGATATACAAACCCTCGCCGATAATATATTCTCCTCGTCACAACATCTCGAGTCCTTTTGCCTTGTGCTGTCCACCACTTCGCCTAAATATCTTCAACAGTCTCAGCTGTCGCTTGCCGCTGGATTGATATGCCGCCTCTGTCGAGAGGAGCGGCACCAACATGCCCTAGCAACTTCCGGTGTTCTAGACATACTCGGGACACAGCTAGCGAGTTTTGCCGTAGCCAAGGGCCATGTTGTTCCAGGTGCCGAGGAGCAGGCATACAGTAACCGGCTGTTTGAAATGTTCCCTGAACAGGCGCACCCGGGTGCCAAGATTGGACCCATTCTCGAAGCCATAAGCACCATTATCGGCGACTCCAAGTATAGGGCGACTAGACTGGACAATTCACCAGCCGTCCTAGCCGTCTTCCCAGTAATCGACTTTTGCCCGCCCGAAAGCTCAGTCGCGGCCAGGATCCAGCGAGGAAAAGTTACCGCCATGGAGTATCTGCTACCTACAATCCCTAGCCCTGTTTCGTATTCGAAGATAAGGAGTCACCACCTAGATCCTTCAGGTCGACCCGAGGCAGATACGCTTCGCCTGCCTCCTTCTGGTAGTTTCGGCTTTGTCTCGCCCAGCTGGGACGAGGCACACTACCCGAATGATTTGTTATATGACGGCGAAGTTATAGAGACCCCTCTGCTGCCCTGGCTTATAGTCCAGGTGAGATCTCTAACCGGGTACGACCGACTGATGGCGGCGTCTGTCCTGACAGCACTGTACAAGGCTGGCTTTGGATCAGCAATAAGAGAGACGTCCCTGGGGCTGCTCGTCGTACCAATACTTGTGGATCTCATTGCCAAAAATACAAAGGACGACAGTGACTCGGGCCCTATTGACACAGCACAACGCCTCATTCTGGAGAGAGCGCCTGCAGTCTTGGCCCGTTTGATCACCGACAGCGAATATCTTCAAAATGCGGCATTCGATTGCGGTGCCATCAAAATACTGGTAAAGCTTTTGAAACAGGCCTACGAACCTGTATCGGTGCACGAACAGCCTAAAGCCTGGTCATCGCAGCCCGATACCGGTATGGATGTGGAAGAGTCCTCCCTGTCCTCAAGGTTGGGTGAAGGAGGCCAAAACCCCCTCCTGGCCCATCGGTTGAGAGTTCGAGAGTCTGCACTAAAAGCCATTGCCGCGCTTGGCTCTGGCAAAGACGATTATAGGAAGGATCTTATTGCTCAAGATTTCGTGCCCTACGTGGTGGAGTCCCTCACCGAACATCCCAGTAAGCCACGGCAGATCAAAGATAAATCCAAAGAAAAGCCATCCAGTAATGAAGTTGTTCCTCACATTAGCTCCCCCTCGGGCTACGGTATCAACCCTCCGTCGGTTATTATTGCTGGCTGCCATGTTGTGAGGATGCTGGCACGCTCAATCAGCATATTACGCACATCCCTGGTGGATCATGCCGTTGCTCTGCCAATTTTTGAGTTCATGAAGCATGCCGACGTGAACGTTCAGATCGCTGCCACTGCCACCATTTGCAATCTCGTTGTCGAAGTCAGCCCTGTTCGAGAGGTTAGTTTCCAGTCTTTTGCGTCCTGCTCTGTAGAATCAACCAAATGCTAACTCTCTTCAGCTTCTTGGTGAAAACGGGGTGATGAAGGTTCTTTGTGAGCACGCCCGCTCGGAAAACTCGGTCCTTCGTCTGAATGCTTTGTGGGCTCTGAAGCACTTCGTGGTGGCCGTGAGTCCGGACGTAAAGAAGGCCTGTCTTGAGCAACTTGAGCCCGGGTGGCTAGTTCAGCTGATTAGAGATGACAGCACAGACATGGCCTCATACAACTCGCGATCAAAACAATCAGTTGGGGATGACCTAGACGAGGAGATGGACGCCCCACCATCTGACGAGCCTTTCCGGTGGTTATACGTATCTAATGGCTTGCTGCGGGAATTGGACGCTTCGCGTTCGTCTAGGTTGCGCACTGCGGAAGTTAACCTAACGGTGATACGAGAGGCGGAGCTTAACCCAGTCAAAAGAGCACGAAGTGATAACATTGCTATTCAAGAACAAGGTCTAGATTTTATCCGCAATTTGATAGGACCCGGAGCCGGGCCAACAGCAGAATCACCGTGTGAGACAACAGAGATGATTGATTATCTATTCAGTGCTCTCGGGCAGGACAGGTTTTTTGACATCTTGGCGTCCAAGTTACGTCCCAAGGTACTGAATCCATACTCTCGGCGATCGTCTGGGGGACGGGAGACCAAGGTCCTTCACCCCCAGGCAAAGATTATCGCAGCCGTCATCTTCATCCTCGTCCACGTCGCGGCCAGCATCCCCCGATATCGGCAGCTTGTTGTTGCCCAGACGGAGCTTCTCAGACTGCTCGCCCAACAAGCAAGTAGCAAGGATAAGGAAGTTCGTGTAGCGTTGTGCCATCTGGTTATTAATCTTACCGGACAGGAAGACGAGAGCGAGGATCAGGCGTGTGGGCAGAGGGCAAACGAGCTCAGGAGACTGGGCTACCATACTAAGATGGAATCCTTGCAGAACCAAGATAAGGACTTGGATGTGCGGGAAAGGGCAAAAACGGCGGCTTATCAACTTGAACATGCCATTGCGTATTAAATTCACTAGGAATAGGGTTTGGTTTTAGTCAAAAAGCGAAATATAGCTCCAATAGTGTTATTCGGACAAATGATCAACTTACGTTGCTCTCCATTACTCTTGTTGCCCTTTTGTTTTTAATTGTTCCTTTTTCCTTCTACCTGGTGGCATACTGATCACACCTTGCAAAAAGAACAGCATATGCGTAGTTGTCTCATTAAGAGGAAAGTGTATCATGTCTATTGAGTCGTTTACATATGGATACTACAAGGGATCAACCATCGAGCCAGGTATGGGAAAGAAGAAGGAAACGATGGGGAGTTTGGGGGATATTTGGTTCAGAGAGGGAAGAATGGGTTGGGTTGGGCTATGTCGTGGTGTATTTTGCTTTGATTGGGGGGGTTGGTGTTGGGGGTAGTATATGTGTATACAGAGTATGCGTAATGGCAATGACTTTTTGTTCCTTTGTAGGCTGGAAGGGTAGAGGTTATGTTTGAGAGTGTAGTTGTAAGTAGACTGGGTTTTTATCGGAGACTCGACATTGACAAGAATATCAAAGATGTCAGTAATTTCGAGTTGGATACTTCGTAGTATGTACGTTGTTGTCATGGCCTTTTTTTTTGTTTGTTACACTTCCAAGACAACGCTATAAATGCACGAATAGATTCGTCGAATAAGTAAAATTAAACGTTTTTTTTCTTCTTCTCTTTATTTCATTTATCCGAGATGTCTGTATTATACATACCTCTTTGTCTAAGTGTTTTTTTACGTCACAAACGTTGAACGATTTCTCTCGTCTTACATCCTCCAGTTGTTGATAGAATACTACCCTATATAAGGGGTTCCTGTTTTCCAAAGACAGAGGGAATACCAAGAACAGAAAAAGGGGGAGAGACATGAATGGCTGTTATTGTTGTTGTTTTTTATTTATTTTATTATTCCATACATCTTTTTTATATCTTTTTGGGGTAAATTTACCCCCAATGGATATGTGTGGTTGAATAGACGCATCGAGAATGAGCCTGCTCATACATCTGACTCTACGAGAATCCATGAGGAATATATCGATGACAAAAAAAAAGGGGGGGGGGGGGCCTTGACAACAAAAGAGGATTTAGAATATACGATGGAGAGAGAGAACAAGAACCGCTTTCTCATTCATCAACACCGCCCCAGGCAAAAAAATGGACGAACGGGGAATTGAACCCCGGACCTCTCCCAAGCTATATATCTAACCAAGTGAACTTGGCTCATAAGATGCTAAGGGAAAATCATACCACTAGACCATTCGCCCTGCGATAACTTGGCCATGATGGCACCTAAACTGCAACATGAATATTTCGTCTCTGCCCATATCCCAACCGACAGTGAGTCCGGCCCTCATCAACGTATTTGCAAACGGCGAGTCGTGCGGCCGCTTGCGTCAACAACGGTTTTTTTTTTTTTTTTGAAATCGTTCGATCTTGAGATAGGAAGGGGTCAATGCTCTTCCATCGTGGCACTTGACGGATGACAGGTCATCCAAGGGGGAAAGAGGAGAAAAGAGACAGGCCGTTCACGCCACCAAGTCACCGTGTCGAGAGAAAGATGGTGTTCTAATATCGGGAAATCTGGACAATCACCTGCAGGACATGCCCCCTCTTAACAACAAAGGTGTCAAGCGTTCGGTATACCAAGTTGGCTGGTAAGCCACCAAAGCCGACGACATCAATATTCCAACAATAGGACCGGTTACGGGCAATCCAAGAGTTGTGGCTTTTTTTTATCGCAAACATTCCTTTTGTCCCTTTGTTGCCGGAGCCGCCTAGCCGCCCCAAATTGTTTGTATGAAGCTAAACCAGACCCATCTCAAGAACTGACAAACGTCTCAATTTTTACATGTCCCGTCGTATCATTCAACTTTTGAGCAATGCTCGGAGATCCATAATAGGCACCCCGGAAAGCTGGAACGGACCACAGATGATTTTCGACTGATCGTCTGAAACGATCAACAATTCATTGACATCCTTCCAACAAACGCCCCTCACGGAGGAGGGGAAGCAAGGGTGAGTGACTGATCACAAAGCCACAGCTAACGGTTTGAAACCCCGGTGAAGGAGGTGGCCAGCCATTTTAGCCACCAGAAGACGCAAGGAGGAATCCAAACATTGTTCGGTACACGCCCAGAAAGTGCGCATGAGATAAACGAGGTAGATCGGTAGGGCTGGGCGCACCGACATCAAAAAGAGAGGGAAGGGGAGACAAAGACACGCTGCCCGTTTGTCCCGGCATGTCTTCCCTGAGAGTGCCGATCCCACCAGCAGCCGAACGTTCTAGTTTGCCCTTTGGACGAACAGACACTAAGCATCCGGAAGGGCCTGCTTCCGATAACAGCAGAGCCTGCAAGTGTCTTTGCTGGGCGTCAAGTCCGAAAATGTTTCTGCCTCCCTCTTCCAACTTGCTGCAACCAGCAAACCAAATCGTCCCTGTTCCTCGAGGAAACCCACGAGGCATATGCTTGTTGTCCCATGGGCTTTCGCCGAGACAACTAAAGGTGAAGTGTCAAAGCCCCCTCACGTTGCCATTTTCTTCTATTACCCCGGCCCGTTGAGCCGTTACATGTGGGCCAACACAGCACGACGTCTATCGCCATACGGGAGTCGTTTCACCTCCATGCAAGCCATTGGCCATTTGTTCGCTAGGGAACAATGGTTTTGAACATTCTTCAAGCGTCGCTACCATAACCTGTTTATATTGATTTGGGGATGGCAGTACATCGCCGCCGTCATTACCTTCACATCCAGAAACGAATAGCTTGCTCTGCTGATGACCCGCGCTACTGCCAAGACACATTTTCACTGCGGGGCGCTTGACTTATGCACCACTTGCTCATCAGCAAATAACGGCAACCCGTGTGCTTCTCTAGTCCAGTCTTCGGTTCGCAGCCGGGCGTTTCCACGTCGCTTCCACGTGGATCGAAGAACATTTGCCGCCAAAGATCGTCGACACGAAATGCCCTCCGATTTTGATGTTTCTCCTTGACAGTCGCTCATGCTTGTAGAACTGTGATACATCCAGCCTGAAAAGCTCACAATGGTACCTGATGAGTAGTCATCTGAAATTAAATTTTTTGCTCTGGATAAGGAGCCAATCGAAATACCTAGCAAGGCGGCTGGTTGCACAGCACCAGAGCCGTGGGATAGAAGCGGAGCTTGGCTTCATGAGTAACCAAAAGATATTGAACCCTGGGGATCGAGTCAGTAAGGTTTCTTTCTCTCTAAAACCTGCTCAGTGCGACGATCTCTATCCCGGCTCACTGAGGACAAAAGCAAATAGAGAGGGACATGGCTGAGACCCTTGCTTTCAATAGGATGGGCCCGTATCCGTGCTTTTAAAACTTTCTTTTTCTCATTCTGTTTTTGTCCAAGTACCGTCTCATGACCGGATAAGTGTAACTGAATCAGACTCATGTTTTACTGGAGCTACATATGTCAAAAGAAAGCTTAATTGATGCCGAACTCGCACCGGGCTCTGTAAGACCTTGGCTGTAGAGAACGGAGGACATTCCGCAACCACACACACACAATTTCTTGGCGTACTGGAGATGAAGCTACTCAGCTGAACGCCATTGGACGCCGTTTCGGTGCCGAAAAGGATAGTTGCGTCCGTTGCTCGAGGTAGATCGATCATCGATCCACTCCACCCAGCCGCGCAAAATCCTGGGGACAAGAAGGAATGGGAGAATCCCAAGAAGGCGGCGCGCTCCAGCCAAGGGACAATAGTTGCGACCCAACAGCTCATCTACCATAATGCTGTGGCTCTATTAGAGACGGCAGTTGGTTGCATGGGTAGAAAAAGCACCGTGTAGTCAGGCTCGAAAATGCAATAAAAATAAAATAAAAACGAAAACTGCACGTCATCCAGACACCCGGGTCATTACGGGCGAGAAGGCAAGGACCTATTCAAAGATGGACGAATGAAAACGTGATCTTTTCTGCTGTTGGTCGGGACTCTCTGTCGGTTCAAAGGTCGAGAGAGGATGAGGATTGCGTAGTCAACTTGACGAGCAAAGGACCACAAATTGATGACAGCATGAGTCGTTTGGCTGTTGGCTTGGCGGTGGCTCATCGACCTCAATGTTACCTTGTTACTTCGCCATTTTCTCCCGTTCAAGCCGTTGCTCCGCTCAATTATTGGGAATGCACCTGGCTGGAATGTGGAAAAGCCGAAGGAGATCCATGGTACTGGTATTGTCTTGTCCACGTAGCTATCCGCGTGCCTTGTCATCGGGACTGGAACTACCCATCGAATTATGGTAAAAATCCGGGAGAGATCAACTGTTGGTAACGTTGAGCTGCCATGTAGACGAAACCAATTTTTGTTTTATCTACAAGTAGCAAGATATAAGCCCGGAAAACGATGGGAAATATCAAACCTTTGACTGGCTATAGATCGCTCCCTAGTCCCAGATAAGACAAGACGTAGCGACTGAGTTTAATAATGGCAGAGAGGGCAAAAAACCTTGCTCATGCAGCACATGAATACTCTTAGCATGTATATCCTCTAATTATGCATTCTATGCTGGTGCAATCGTTGGCCTGCAAGGTCACCGAGATTGTTCGGTGGTCCTTGGATGAGCACAACAGGCCGCTCCACGAACAGGGTTCGTCCCATAGCACCCAACGGTCGCTCTGCAGAGCAAACATTCAAGGGTCGGGCCAATAAACCTTGCACAGGGTGGAGTGTCCTTCGTGGACTGGAGCATACAGTGGAGTAGCGGCGACGAGGGCCGCCGCCAAGGGGTCCGGGGATGATCATTGCGCACAGCCGGGCGGCGCTCATAGGTCAGAATGGCACTCCATTGCCCTTGATCTTATCGTCATGCTCTGATGGTGTGTGTGGAGGTGACATATTGCAGCGAAGAAGAGGCCCAGAATGAAACGATCGGATGACAGACCAGGGCAGGGCAGAGGTCGGTCGACAGGCTCAATCGGGGGCCATTCGAAAGCAAGCAGAGAGAGGGGGAAAAAAGGTCCAGTACCAACGTCTAAAAAAGCCGCGAATCTAGATCAAATGAAGCGAACAAGGAACCCTGGGGTTCCATCGTGCTGCTGGGATGATGATTTGAGGAAGAAATTTTTGAGGGCATGTTTCAGACGAGGATGAATTGAAAGAGGGTCTTCAGGGTGTCCTTGGAGGGTCCTTCCTTTCCATTTCACAAGTCACCGTAAAGTATCCGAGGCAGTCACCTAAAGGTAGCATGATGTCAATAAGGGGGGGGGCTCTTCCCTGACATGGACAAGCAAGTAGTACTAGGTACCTTCGTACCTTGAAATTTTCATGCCATGTACCCGCTCCCCATAATCAATACCCGAGAGTCTGCCCCTCTCCAGGTTTTCTCCTCATTCATCACAATGCCTGTACCTTGCGCTTTTTTCTCTCCCTCTCTCACACATACGAGAATGGAAATCAATCAATCAATCAATCAAAGAAAGAAACTTCACTCGACCAATGTCTTCCATCAATTTACAAGCGTCAAGTACCGTTACGGTTGTTTCAGACTCTGACTCGGGACGGGTTCGGACAGCCAACGGGTCCGGTTGCAAGATCCAATGATAAGTCTGATTAGGTTTTGACGATTCCTTTTAGTCTTTGGCCTCGCATTTGGCTCTTGACCTGGGAGAGTAAGGTCGCATGGCTTGAGCTGCTGCTGTGCTAGAACCAACGGCTCGCTTCCCCCGTTGACGGACCAGTTTGCAATGCCATGCAAGCTACCTAAACTTAGCACACAAATGTAGCTGAATTTACCTGCAATCCAATCCAACGCACAAAGCAGAACGTGGGCTGCTAATGCCCGTGCCAGAAAACGAGTCAACGTCTTCCCGTCTGTGTAATCCACACGGTGCCAAATGAGTGCACCCTCTCCAGACTCTAGGCAGAAGCAAAAAGAACTGGGATTGGAGGGGGCAATTATCCAGCTGGGTAAAAGATCTGCCGCACAGTTCCCGTGCCGCCCAAAAGGACCGACACCACACGGTGTGCTCTCCATGGCAGAGGGAACACAAAGCCTGGCTGGTACTCCCAACTCCATCTGTGGCGGCGCCCACGGGCATGGTATTGGGTTGGCAACACGGGTCACAAACGCACACAGATTTGGAAAGATGGTGGCGGCTCAGGTTTGCAAGTTGGACTAATTATGACAGAGTACGAAACGCAAATGTTCATTCATGCACTTGGAATGGAAAGACACTTTCTACTCTACTCCGTATACATGATAATCGTGGCCTTGAAATAGGGCCGCCTCAGATCTTTTGG